GCTGATGCATAAACTGATGCTTGAAAAAAGTCCAGGGCCTCATTTTATCCCCAGTGAGACTCAAATGTACAGTCTTAAACGGCTCAGCCTGGATTTAACTGCGCTTGTTTCATCAGCTGTGTAAAAGAGCTGACCAAGAACAGGAGCCCTTGCCCCAAGTGAAAGGGAGCATGCTCTAAATTTAAAGCATGGGATTAGGAATGGAGATTCTTGAGAAGAACTGAGTATTTTTGTTTACCCACCCTTTTAGAGCCATGCAAGTGATTCCGTGCATGGAGAAGGTGCACTCATCTTTCACTCCACTGAGAATGTTTTAGCTGATCTGAATGTAAACATATCTCCTTGTCTCAGCAAAAGTTGAGACACTGGCAGAGTGTCACTTTTCATACTCACAGACCTGTGTGCAAAACTTCCTTCCTCGAATAATGTGACTTTTTACAGTTCTAAAATAAATGGACATGGGCTAGATCACTTTTCAATTAAACTTAACATTTTGGTTTGTGATGCTAACCCTTAAGTGTCCGTTATTCGTTAGGCAAATTCCTCTCCAAACACAGCATGGATACAGGTACCATTAAAAATAGCTTTTTCTAGTCAACATATGAGTATGGGGTGCTTTAAAGAATGCATTGTATCTAAATGGATTAGATCAAAGTATTAACATGCAGACAGCTGCCCATTTCCAAGACTTCCTCTACTTAATATGCTAAAGTGACACTAGACTGCTGGCAAGAATTAGTTCTTACACCTGGGCCTTGTGTACACTGAGGGTTTAAGTCTCTCCCCCAAACGCTAGCAGTGGTACAGTTTCACAGATGCAGCACTGGTATAAAACACAACTGCAAACTGTCTACGCTACCAGGTCAACCAGACTGGCTCTGAGCAGCCAGGGTATGCTAGAGTTAGTTGAACTGTTTGCACATGCTATTGTTTTCCTGTGTTTGTTTGAATTCCATAGAGATCTCTCATCCAAAGGTTGCGCTTGCCAACTGGATGGAGTTTAGACATCTAGAGATATGGAGGGCCCTTTCCTTGTAACCAGCTGGGGGGGAAAAATAAAAATCTCAAGCGATACTTTCACTTCTAATCCTCTGAAGCCCTGCAAAGCAAAAGTGACCCTGACTCCCTGTGTTGTGTCTGGATAAACCGAAACTCATTAATGCAGACAACAGATAAGTGCTTAGAAACCTTTAAACTTAATGATCTGCCTGCCTTGTAGGATCTAAAGATTGTGATGCCAGCTGAAAAGCAGCTGTGGGTGACTGATAATTGTAGAGAGATGTTAAGATGTAGTGATGAAATGTTTTGATAGTGTGTTAATATGGACTGTAAAGGAAGTCTAAGATACCGTCAGTGCTTTTTTCTCTCTCCACCCCCTGCTCCCTAAAACTCGACACCTTTACAAACACCACATGTAAGGTCAGTGCTATTTATCCTCGCTTTGTAAATGAGGAAGCAAAGACAAGAAGTTTAAGCGACTGGCTTAAAGGCCACAAAAGGAATTGATGTTGCCTGGGAGGAAGAGCATCACTTAAGGCAGTGGCGAGCAACCTGCAGCCCATCATGATAATCCGCTGGCAGGCCGCCAGACAGTTTGTTTACATTTGAACAGCCGCCCGCAGCTCCCAGTGGCCATGGTTTGCCATTCGTGCACAATGGGAGCTGCGGGAAGCTGCAACTTTTCCTTAGTTGCTAGCTGCTTTATCTGCTATGCCAACCATTTATTAACATCTGTTTAATATTGATGTCATTTAAGAGACGTATTAATTCTAGTATGACCTTTCCTACTGCACGTGGATAAAAAAGCCACACAAACTACACAGCACGGCCTATAGAAAAGGCACTAATGTCTTCCTGAGCTTGGTCAGCTGAGAGATGCAGGACACTGGTGGAAGTCCTCCATCAATAGCCAGCTTGTTATCCCTGCTGGGTTGGGTACAAAAAACCCCTCCTCTTGTTACCTACGGGAAACACCATGACAGCAGAGGATTCCAACCCTATCATGGAAGCATATCGCATGCTGCCGCCCACTTAGATGAAGGTCGTTCAAGAGGTGGCCCATGTCACTTCTTGACACTGAAGAGTAGACCGGTGATGATGTGAACACCTGTTGGGTTCCATTTCCCAAGAGCTGCCACTGATTTTGGGGGCGCAGCCTGAGACCTGGCGCCATGGATGCTCAGTGCTTTCGAGAGGCAGACATTGTCTGGGTCATTGCCTTCTCAGTGGCAATGACTGCATGGCTGGTGTGAGAGGACCAGCCCCCCCCCCCCCTTCAGGGAGACTAACCACATGGCCCCACCCTTTGTACCTTGCCCCCCCCCCCCATCCTCCAGAGCCCCAAGCACCCACCCTACCTCCCCTCCCCCACCGCCAGGCTGCACCCAGCACCCACCACACCTCCCCTCCCCCACACCCTAGCACCAGGCTGCTCCCCCCCCCATGCCAGGCCGCCAGCCAGCTAGCCTCAGCATCGGCTCTGGCTGGTGGCGGAACTGAGCTCCTGCTGACTTGGGCACCGGCATGGGGGAAGAGGGCGCAGCATGGGCAGGGCCAGGGCGTGGCTTAGGGAAGGCTTAACCTCCCCAGGCCTATTATGCCTGCGCCCATCAATGACTCATTGACTCAAGTGTGAAAGGATCTGATCCCTTCCCTGGCCCCTCCTGCGACAATGTTTGAATAGCCTGAGTCATTCTAATTGGAGGATGCAAGGCTCATGTCTCCCACTCAGCGATTACTCATGCACAATTTTAATGACCACACACATGCATTTATGTGAAGACAGCTATGTTTATGGTGATGTATTCATTACACACCAAATTATATTAAGTCTGAGTGAGTAGTAGAGCCTTTATGCAGCTAGTGGCAACTAAGTGCCTAATCTAATAGGAAACAGAACACAGGAGATGTCTACAATCAAGCACTAAGTACCTTACTGATGGTTATTCTCAAAGCTGCCCTGCTTTGGGAAGAGGGTAAACATCTCCAATTTCTTTTGTTCACAGGACTTGTCTGTGTCTGGAACGAGTCAATTGTGATTCCAAATCCGTGGTGGTAAGATGCGTGTGAACGGAATAGGGAAGTTTACAATGTGATTTGATCTAGCAACCTAGTCTTGGTTATTCCTGCTTTGTGAATGAAATAAAATAAGGCATTCCACCAAGCTATGGCCTGCGTCATAGGCAGAAAGTCAGACTAAAGGAGCAAAAATGGTTATTTTTGGCCTTACAAAGCATGTAGAGCTATAATCAAATTTGTTAGTCTCTAAGGTGCCACAAGTACTCCTGTTTCTTTTACAGATACAGACTAACATGGCTGCTACCCTGAAACCAATCAAAAATCAGTAATACAGGACTCCAGTCAATTGAGCTTAACATTAAAAAATCCAAAACTACAGGATGCAAAGAAAGCAAAGGTAGGTTAGGTCACTTAGATACGGTCTCGCATGATATTCTTATCGATAAACTAGGCAAATCGAATTTAGATGGGGCTACTATAAGGTGGGTGCATAACTGG